TGGCTCCGTGTTCTCAGTGCTGTGGGAAAGGGACGGTATGGCCAGAAGGCTGGTCCCTTGGCCAGCAGCCCTGGGGCCATCTCCAAGGAGGCCCTGTGGCGGTACTTCTGCTCCATAAAGGAAAGGGTACTTGGGAGTTAAAACCTGCTCAGTAGGTAGAAATGGGATTTTTTAGAAATCAGCTTTTGTGGATGGTGATTTGAAAAAGGAGTGTCTCATTTCTGGGAACTAAACGACAGGGGTTTTGGTTCAAAACTGGCTGGGTGGAAGGAGGAATCGGCAGTGCAGTGAGTGGCACACTGGTAAAAGGTGGCTCTGGAGCTCTGGGAGGCCGGTGTGTGCCAGGAGGCCCTTACGTCTTCCTGAAAATATTTTGTCCCAGGGCATGGTGCATGGGAGAGCCAGGTGGCAGCTGTAAGCAAAGATTAAAAAAGGTTGGATGTTATCAAGGGGTAGCAAATCAGTAATCCTGGTATGAGAAGGTATCAAGCATGAGGGAAAGAGGGAATTAAACTTGAGGTAAATCTGAAGAGGAATCTCATTAAGCATTAGTAAGGGAAGATTAAGAGGCGGTTAAAAAGGGAATCCAGTAACATTCACAGATTGCTAAAGTAATTGGCGATAGACTCAGGTAATTGGTGATAGACACGTTCTTACTAATGCAATGTTTATTTACAGACATACATAAAAAAATATTCTTAATGGCTTTTTCTGTTTTTCAGTTTATTCTGAAGGCTGTTATTGAATTAGCATGGATTTGGAAGTTAAAGGAGTTGCTGTGTCCCCTCGAAGGCAGACTCAGCTGTCATTGATGGGGAAGAAACGTCAGGTATGTTAATGGAGATGGGTTGTGGTTGTTTTCCTTCCTTATTTTGATGTTTTTACAAATATTTTAATCATACTTCGGAAGGCTTTTAGTTTGAGGTTATAATACATTCTGTAGAGAAGGAAACTTGAAATGATTTTTGTCAGAAAGTGATAGTTTTAGTACGACAGCTTCTCAAACAAAGGGAGAGAATTTCCAATAAAAACAGCTGACCTAAAATAGCTGATGTTCTGGGTATTTAGCTAGGATGTGGGGAACTCAGGGAACAAACTAGTGCTTGCAATTAAGCGCAACAGAGGCTTGAACCTCTCTCAGGTCTGTTTGCTGCCTCAGGTTCTTGGTGAAACTGGTTACAGGTTTGTCTGTGGCTTTATTTTGCAAGACAGCAAGAAAGTAAAGCAACTCCCAGAACATAATTTCAAAAGGCTTGATTTCAGATTGATGTGTACAATGAATCTCGGTATTCGGCATTCATTAGGAAGGGGAATTTTGTTTTCCAGGTATTCCTAAGAGTCTATGTTTTGAGATGAGTTTGGTGTGCAACTCTCACAAAATCACTGTAGCAGAAACTTTAAGGCTAACTTTTGGAAGCCTAATTAGTAAAAATAAGATCTTGGATTGTGAGGGCCATTGTTTTTATTATCGCTAAGGTAAGTATTAGGTTTTTTTAATAATGGTTGATTTTTCTTACAGATACTGTGTAATTTATGCCCATGAAGTAAATTTAACTCAGAATCTTCTCTCAGGCCCCAAGCACACATTAAACTTCCTTATTTGTTGAATGACTGCACGAGGAATTCTTGGAGTTTGACTGCTGAGTTGCTGTTTTCCTTTTTTTTGTTTGATTTGGAATGAAAAATGACCTTTTGTAAACGATATAACGTTGTCTTTTCACACACACAGAATCTTAGTGGTTGGAAGGGACCTCTGAGATCATCGAGTCCAACCACAAAAAAAAAAAAAAAAAAGCCAGTCTTTTTTGAGATTAAATAGCTGTTTACACAAGAGCATTTGGAGCATGTAGTGTAGGTTGTAAAAGAAAAGAAATGTCCGTTTTTCTCTAATCTTTTGCTCCTTTTTTCTTCTCTTTCTCAAGCCCCTTAGTGTCTAAATTTAGACTCTCTGGTCCATCTGATTCTCGGTGGCTTGCAAAAATAAAACATAGATTAAAATTAGGTTGAAACTACGTGCTTCACCTTGTACATGTGGACGGTCTTCAGGATGATTTTTGTTTGCTTTCTTCCTGATTTGCTGACTTCTGGAAAAGGAATTGCATTAAGACTTTAACATGTAGAATGTGGTTTGTTCTTTATCTTACCACAGTTGACATGGTACACAAAAATTAGATACTTGTGATTTAATGCATTACATTTAGTCTTAAGAATAAGACTAAATTGTGTTAGATCTCGTAAGTTTTTTTTACATATTTGACCACAAGGTGGTGGTGTTTATTATGTGCGACCTTCCTGGAGAGAAACTTTCCCTTTTTCTAAACCGAATACCCTTTGTTGAAGGCACTAGAGGGTAGTGTTGCTGAACTGTAAACTTCTTTTTCAGGAGCAGGCTGCAAGGGTGGGTGGCAGGAAGGGAGTTACAGTTTTGTGACTGCTCTCAGATCATGTTAGGGCAGTGCTGAAATAGGATGTCTGCTCAGTTCAGACTGTGATGCTGAGATCTCTGACCTGAAGAGTGTGAAAACAAAGATGCTGGCCTGGTTCAGAACATCCCTGAACCATATTTTTTGCCAGATTGGGAGGCCGTTTGGGGAAAATTGTTACTACATGCTTGCCCCAGTCAAACCGTCTTCCTGAGAGATTTGCTGTTAGCTGTTTTCAGAAAGCCATAGTGGGGTAGATGGAGCTGTGGCTTGAGTCTTTTCTTTCTTTTATTCTTGCTGTATTTTCACTCATTTGATTTTGGAGATCTGTGTGGTACACAGGCCATGCAAAATGAACAGTGTGAATACACAAGCTGCCTAATCATGTGCTGCTATAGCAAAGCTGAGATGATGTGATTACATCGAATAACAGGGCTTTGAGGTCTGAGCTAGCTGCATGTGAGCCAGCTGGTTGTTGGTATTGTGGTTTTGGTTTAAGGGTTGACTATGGGGTTGGTTCCCAACAAAAAAGGACTATGTGACCTAAACCCTCGTGAGCAGTGATTGTACAAACTCTCAAGAACGCAGATTATTTATAATGCTTTATTAATAGCTGACATGGATATTGTCTGGATTCTGGATTCATATTGGAAATGGAATCTTTCTGTCATGATGAATATCCAGTCTTTCAGGCTCATGATCTGTAAGAATCAACTTTGAATGAAGTTTTTGTTTTGTCCTTTTGTTAGTAGCATCTCACTTAAGCATGTCAGACAGATAATTTGAGGCATTGATTTTTAAATATTCCAGGGGAACTTGAAAGACAGAGCTGAGTATTTTAAACCTGATCCCTGTAGATATGTAATAATGTATCATTCTTTTAGGGCTGGAGACCAGATACACGGGCTAGTCATGGTCCTCGCCCACCAGAGTAAGTCTGCTTCTATTTCTGATCAGTTTGTGTAATTGTGCATTATTAACACAATCCATTTGCATTTGTATTGGTATGCAAATCAGTGTTCCATGAAATTTATCATCATAGGTTTGTTTTCTATATTATTTCTATTTAGAGTAGAATTTGTGATGCATTATTTACATTGGCATTAAGTTGATTTGCATTTGGTTGAGCTTAATGATAGAGCTGTACTCAGAGTTTTCATATTTATGAAAATTTCTCAAATATTTTTAATATAATAGTCTGCAAAAAGAGATAAAACTTATTTTTGTTTTAACTATTAGACTTCTATGCAGGTATTACAGTAACAATTACAAAGAACCTGTTGTGAAGAGACAAGCAAAGGGAAATTTCGTATCGTGCCTATAAAATTTAAAACCTTATACTGACTTTGGCAGATAAGCAACATCTGCTTTTCTAAGGATCATGTTTGATAGTTTATGGGGTTTTGTTTACTGAAATGCCTCACAGCCAATTTATGTATCTACATTATTTTACATGTATATGTGACCGTGTCCTTGGTTTGTTCATATTGAAGTCAAAAAAATTTCTGCGTACTGTCAGTGATCCTCTAGTAAAAAAAGACTGGAAATTAAGGAGCTCTCTTATTCCAAGCAGTAATCTCGTTATAATTCCAGAGTATATCTGGAGTACAGGCAGCAGACACAGAGAAGCTTTGATGAATTGGGAGATGTTTTCATTTCTTTAGCACCATGAAAGCCAACTGTACTTTAGTATTTCATTCTGCTTAATCTCTTCAAAAAAGTTTGGAAGGTTTGCATCCCAAGAGCTGTTGCTTTCCTGTTGCCTCTCTGGAGCCCGATTATAGAGGAATATTGCCACAGACCTGCTATGAAAGACAGGAGTAAGGAATCCTTGATTTACGATCTTGTTGCTGCAGCACCTGTTGGGGGGTGAAGAGAATCCAGGATGGCCATGCTGGGAATGAAGAAGAGCCTTGCAGGGGCTCTTTTCTGCTGTTAGGGTACTCTGCAACTGGGGAAGAGGAAGAGCTCGCTGGCCACAACTGAAGCAGGAGGAGCTAATAGGGATTTGCCAAGTAGGCCATCTCCGGTCATAGTGAAACTCTTCATAGCAGGGAAATTTTTGTGAGGGAGTTGATAATAGTAACTAATAGGCAGTTCGCTGCTACTGTAATTGAAAAATAAGAGAATTTATTGCTATTAAAATCATTTTAACTTCCTGCAGGGTGCCATGCCTAGATCTAGGAAGGCTGGGAGATTCTGATGAAGAGGTAATTATAAATTTATTCTATCCTGAATAGTTTTTAGAATTCATGTGTTGCAGGAGTTTACAAAAATATCACTCTGAATATAAAACAGTTATGATTGCTTGTCCTTTTTTTTTTTCTTCCCCCCTGTAATTTTAGGATGGAGACTCTTACATGCCATACAGTGGAAGTTATCCTCGGACATGCCATCTAGATTCATCTCCAGATTGGAGAACATCGTTACGAACGCCATATGCACAGCATCATCAGGCTCAACAGGTCAGCCTGCTGCTACCAGTATCTTTAAAATATGCCTCTTTAGCAGTAATTGAGCGAAGCATAATTACCCTTATTATACAAGTTCTTTTTATTTCTTTTGGTTAAGCTTGTATCTGAAAGTGCCATTGGTCAAAATACTTTTGACAAAGTACTTTTTACTGAGCAACCTCTAGAATATAAAAAAAAATCTTACCTTCTTAAATACCTTACCTGTTCTTTTTTGGTTGATACACTCATCCATTTCATTGTACTTATTTTGGAAGAGATACATTTATTAACAATTTGTCAAAGCAACTGAAAAATGTAATACTTTGGAGGTAGCATGCAATTTTGGTTTGTCTTTCTAAAAAAAGTGGAACTTGATAGTAAAGATAAGATCAATAGTAGTCAGTGAGTGATTGAAGAAAAGACCCAAGTGTACAAACAGTATGTATTATTTGTATGGAAGAGTAGTTGATTTTAGTGAAAAGGAGATTTTGGGAACTATGTGCACCCATTTCATAGGGTTTTTCTTAAGTCTCTTGTCTTTAAAACAAAACTGTGATGTTAATTTCAGAATTACGTTCAATTTGGCAGAGCACTTCTATTGTAAAATTTCCTGATCACATATCAGCATTTTTTTCCCCTAGATGACTAAGAAACTTAATCACCACTAATCTTAGGTGCTTTATATGGAAAATCAGTAGTCTAAATGCTAATGTTCTGTTTTATAGTTTTTTACAGCACTGTTCAGGATCAATATCCACTATAACAAGTTTAAGAATTAATTTAATTACTCAGTTATTACAGTTCCCTGAATGCAGGAAAATTTTCCTTTGAACTCTTATATCTGAACTAAATTTGAAGAAATGAATGTGACAATTTTTTATTTGATCATTGGTACATATTTAATTTCTCTTTACCTCTATTTTCTTCTGACAACGTTTGTTTTTTTTTGGCACCTGTTTAAACTAAAGGAAAAGTAGCCGAAAAAATATACACTGACAATAACATTAGCAACTCAGTAGTAGTACTATTGTATATGATCTGAAAATATAGTATGTTTTAACTTTTGTGTGATAGGAACTAGCTTATTGGAGGCCCTATTTTTAATCTGTCATTCCACCAATATTTTGAGTTTTTCAAATATGTTAATTAAAGGGAAAAATCTGCAAAAAGTAGTCTTCTCTTTGTAGTCCCTATATTTGAGAGATTACATATCTAGAGCTTTAAACTAATACAAGAATGCTACCTACATGATTATTTTCTGTCATAATCGTGCACTATACATAATCATGGTAAAAATCTCACTACTATTAGTATGTTTTTATTTGGTTAGGGTTCAGGAAATATCCTAACTTATCAATTTTATCTCTTTGGAAGAATCAGAAAATAAATTGTTTAAAAATTCATTATTTAAAAAATATTTAACTTATGTAAACGTAAGAAATACTCTGAGTGTTTCAAACAGAAGTATAGCTGGAGGGAAAAGTGATGAGTAATTAATTTATATATGACCTGTGCCCCTTGAAACGAATAATACAGCGGCTTGTATGACAGGACTCCAAATTGGCTGGAGCTCAAGGTAAATCTGCCAAGATCATAATTTTATATGCTTTCCTATATAGCCAAATGGCTTCTCAACTTGGAAAAAAATGCATTTAAATGAAAACTTAAAGGGTTATTTTTTTTTCAAAATAATGGACTAAGAATGTGCTACTTCTCAGAATATCTATGTGTCCAACATCGGTTTTTATACATGTCTTAAGATGTAACTATAAACATATAACTATGGATAGGTTATCTTCCTCTGTACTGGATTGCAAGCGTGCAGTGCAAACATGCTTAAGTTGCGATACTCTTTGTAGGTCTGGATGCCTATAATCTCACTGCTTGCTTTATCTTTCTTTTTAAATTCTTAGATATAATTCTGTCTAGCTGCAGGAAGGCTAATGGAAGGTTGGTGTGGCTTTGTTCCTTAGGGTCTTTCTCCCTTTTCTGCTTTTTTTTATCTCTTGTTGCTTCCTTTCTGCCTTCATTATGTCTTAAATACATTCTTGCACATTCAGCACTTCAGTATCTTCTGTTCACTTACCTTCTTTTGCTCTTACTCTCTTTCTCTTTTTGCCTGATTTTTTTTTTCTCCTTCTTTTTTTGTGGAGAGGATTTTCAAGCAGTTCTAAAATATTTTAATGTATTCCTCTGAGCGGCCTTTATTTCTGCATTGCTTGCTTCTGGGGCCCTGACTGAGCATTCCTTTAGCAAGATATGTTCCAGCTGCTTCAATAACAGACTGTGTAAGTAAATCTTGCCAAAATAGGTCACTTTTGGAAGAAAAATTTAAATATAGTCTTATCATTCAGGAATTAACCAGTGAAGGCATGTGGATTCTCTGTTGAAAAAGAAAGCTGCCCTTTCAAGAACACAAATCGTTTGGGGTGTTGGGAAATAGTTTTCTAGAACAGGACTGGTGTTGCATGATGAGATGTGTTGAGTAAAGATTCTAGATAAGGCTGTCTTAGTTTTATTAGTGTTGAAGGAATGTCACTTAAATGTTGAAGGTGCTGATTATTCAGGGAGAGAAAGAACAGAGTCTTGGCCTTCTGTCATTCTGCTGTTTCTATTGATCTGGCCTCCATTGTGTAGAGCACTGAAATGGGCGTAAAGTTACGAAGTTACTTAGCTGGCATCACTGCCTTTTCAGCTGATGTTCTAGGGAAGGAAGACCTACTAACTAATACTTACCAGCTGTCCAAGAATATTAGACCTTCTGATTGAAAAAATCCACTAGCCCGTTTTCAGCCATCCAAAACCAAATTTTGGTGAGAATTCCCATTTTAGTGATCAGTAACATTATCTTATAGGACAGAACCACTGACTCCCGGCTCTCTCCTTAAAAGTGATGCAAACCCATTTGGGTATATATACTTTTTAGATTGAAAAAAGGCAGAATATGAAGAACTCAATGAAAATTAAGCTTGAATATACAGTAATATATTATTTTTTTTCTTAATGTGAAGCATAGTGTCAAGAAGTTTTAGTAGTTATACTGGATGGGAACTATAGTAATGCTGTTCTCATTCAATAGATCAACCAGAGGCTTTTGTATTGATTATTCTTTGCTTTTCTGTTTTGGAGCAGAAGACAATACCAGAAAATCTGCCATCTCCAACAGACAGATATAAACTGAAATATCGTCAGTATCAAGCAGATAGGAAGGAAGAATATAAACAGTATTCTCAGAGAATTGCAGAAAAGAAAAAAGACCAACTCCAGTGTCCAGAAGCTTCAATAAAGGTAATTGTCAAAGAAGTAATTGCATTTTTAAATAGCAAATGTGTGCTGGTATTTCATTACAGTGTTTCGAGAGGTTTGCATGTGTGTGTAATTAATTTCTTCCATATTTCTATTGTAAAGAAATAAAAATGTGCAATTTCAGCATCTGATGTTGAGTAGGAAATAAAATATAGAAGAGCAAGAAACTGGGTTGCTCTGAGAATCTAAGTGTGCTTGTATTCTCTGGTAAGAAATGTAACATTTGCCCTCATAGAGCACCTCTAGCCTCAGCGTGAAGATCAGCGTGATTGATAGGGAAGAGTTTGCAGCCTAAGAAGATGGGAGACAGCGGGAAGATCTTGGTAGAATGTTATTTCCAAATATAAAAATGCATTCAAGCTTTTTTATTTTTTAAATATAGCAGTATAGTAATTATTCTTCTATTCAATTATGACTGTATACAGGACTTAAAAGAGGAGAAATGAAAAATGTAGTCTGTACCTTAGAGAACTATTAACTCTGTAAGCAGAAGGAAATATGGGGATAAAATAGTGAAAGATGTTATCTGTACTTTTTGTTTTGATGTTGTATGAGATCCGGTACAGTTGGACCACAATGTTGGACTGCAAGCTGTATTAAGTCTGCCAGGTTTCTTTTGTGTTTTTAAATTAAAACTAAGATGCAAACAAGGGAAGATCAGTGGAGAGAAAATGGAAAACAAAGGGATGAAAAAACCCCAAATTTCTTCTTTTTCTGGAAGAGACAGTATAGAAGGGTGGTTGCCCAGAGCAAGACACATCATTGTAGGCATAAGGAAAGAGGAAGCAACAGCTATGAGGACTGGCCAGATATTAGATTGAGTGCTAGGGGTAGATGACCATTTAAGAATCTTAATGAAAAGTTAAGTATGCAGGTGTTGAGGGAACATATTTTGTTCATTCCTTTTCAGAGGAAAAACTCCATGATGAGTAACAAGGAGTTTACTGATTTTACTTCCTTAATGTTCAATAGAGTGAAAAAGGAAGGTCTTACATGAGACAGATGTTACGTTTCATGTATTGTTGTTATTGTTTTACACATATTGTTGATCATTTTAAAGGGGCTTTCTCCTCTTATAGTCACACTTCTATTCTTCAGATAAAACTTGGACAACCTGCAAGTCCTTGTAAGTAAATATTCTGTCAGTCAAAGAGTTGTGTAAAAAAGACAGTTCTGTTGTTCTGTTAAGCTTAGTTTTATGGTGGCAGTTACAATTGTTATTTCTGGGGATTTGTGGTAGTATTACTTTTTTTTTGTTTTGGTGTGCTGGGTTTTTTTTTAATGATTCCACTCTTATGTACCGGTCTGACACCATCACGTCATCTGTTTTCCAAGAAGTGACTCCTATATGTCCTGAACTGCAAGCCCATCAAAAGGGTATTTACAGGAGCAGCCAAGTTAATCCGAAACTGAAGAAACAGGTGGAAAGTGGATACTGGGAGAGAAAAAGCAGGACTGGCTTATTCTGGTGATTTTGGGTTCCAGAAAGATACTCGCTAAGCACTAGAAGCTATGTATGTCAGTTCTTGTGACAGATAGTAATATAAAGTCTAGCAGAACAATTTTCTGTGTTAGATATTATCACTATCTGATTAAATTAATAAATCAAAATCTTTTTGGAGTTCAAGGTACTTATTATTTTATGTGATTACTGGAACTTGTAATAACTTTTCATATCTGAAAAGAAGCTGTTCCTAGAGGAGCCTAGCTAACAAAACCTACTTTTCTGATTTCTTGCCCGTGTTTCCTCCTTGCTGACTTCTGTAAACAGTCTCCTTTTTCAGTTTTCTTTGTATCCTCCATGTAGGAGGTACTTCTGTAATAATCTTGGACTTATTAACAAGCCTGTTAGACCCAGTTCAGCAGTATGCTTTGGCATTGCCCTGTCTAGACTGTATTTAACTTCTTTGCTGCTCAAAAAGCAGCATCTCTGCAACGGTGAACTTTGAGCTATATTCATAATGGCAAATCAGCCTCTTTCTCTTGGCTGTTCTGGAGCAGAACAGAGAAAGGATGAGCTCGTCGTCTTCAGAGAGGTGCTAACAGTCTGCTTTCTCTGAGATGCTGCTGAAAATTCACAAACCTTGTAGGAACACAGTATTTTTGTGATTTTTTTTTTATTTTTTATTTTTTTTCCAATGTGATCGAAAGCTGGTGAGTGTTCAAAAGCTCTAAGGGAAGACTAGAGAACAGGATTTCTAAGTTCAGCTTCTGTGAAGTGGAAGAAGCAGGCACTTTAAAAAGAAGCAAAAAAGGAAAATACTTTTAAATAAATGATTGAGGAAAATGTGTGTGTTTGTTGGAAAATGTGGGGTTTTTTTGTTTTTCTTAATTAAATTTGATTTATGAAAATAATGTATTTCTGTATAGGGTACACAGCTTGAAGATGGACATAATGATGGTCTTACAGCTCTCGATGAGAAAGCTCTCCTGCAACAATGCTATACAAGCAAGCCCTATAATATGCAGCACAGTATAAGAAAATCAGAAGCTGTAAGTATTTCGGCTTATATTATGCTGTTAACTGTCTAGACTCACAGAATGACTTCCCAGATGTTCAGCAGAAGTTAGGCCTTTGATGATGTGGTCCTAATATGTAACTGGACCTATTGCAATCATGGGAGTTTAAACATTTGCTTCAAGGAGAGCTGAACTGAGCAGGCCAGTGAGCATTATTTCAATGCTATCTGCAATGCTTGTATTTTATGCAGTAATGTATAAATGAGAATGCAAATCACGAAAAATAAATACAGATATGTACATACAACTAAGATTACCTGATTGACTTGTGTGAACCTGGGTATAGTGATAACATTTCCTCTGGTCTGTAGCTTGTACCCAAGCCTGTATTTCATGATTTATGCATTCCATGATTCCATCAGCGCTTACTCTGACTTGTTTCTAGAGTAAATAAGCTGTTTTTCTTCATTTACTCCTGAGATGTAATATGTGGTAAGAACTGGCTTTGTAAGCTGTGTGGGCTCTGTTGTGGGTATAAGATCAAGTCAGCCACGGCTTTGAGTCTTCAAGCTCCAAGGATGGAGTTTCTACATCATCTCCAGGCAACATCTTCCTGTTATATGCTACTATCCTAGTGAAGAAGGTCTTCCTATTATTCACACCAAGTCTCTCAAGGCTCAGTTTTTAAACTTGGTCTCCTGTTATGCTGTTGGCCACTGTCAAAAAATGTTTGCTTCTGTCTTCTTTGTAACTTTGCTTTGGTTGGTAGGATGTTTTCAGAATGCCTCATAGCTGCTGCTTCTGCAAACTAAACAAACCCAAGCTCCCTTAGCTTCCCCTTTCGGTTGCTTTTGCTTCAGTCCTCTGTTAGATCCTTTCCAGATTCCTCTCATCCATATTGAACTTGGGAAGGAGGGAGCCCCAAAAACTGGCAACAAGTATAGCATCTAGTATATGTAGAGGGGAATTAAAACTTTTCTTATATAGACATACCAAATATGTTTCTTTAATTTCCTACATAGACATGTTTTTTACTCTTTTTAGAACTGAACAATAGGAGTCTTGCCCATCTAAGGCTAAGCCTTGAATTTAGGATCATTTACAATGAGGAAAAAACCTTGAGATTTGATATTGCATGATTCAGTATTTGCATGTGCAGAGTGATAGCACTCCTGGTTTTTGGAGGTATTAATGAACAGAGTTACCATTCTAACTTTCTCGTGGAATTCTAAGCCATGAGAAATGTTATAAGCTTGTAAAAGTAAATAATTTTAATTTATTTTGTTCACTCATCACTATGCACTGAATTTTGCATCATTGCAAACATTTATTTGATTTCTAGTCTCATCAAAGTGAATGTGGATGTTACACTACTGAGGTCACTATTCATTTTCATGATAAGAAAATCTTTTCAGAAAGTACTTTTATGAAGAACTTGAAGAACTTCCTGTTTGTTATTTTTAGAATAAATTTAAAAATCCATACTACAGGGTAAAGATAATAGAAAGAAGTTTTGAAGTATCGTTACAGTAACTACTTAATGCTAAATCAAATAAACTGAAACCTTGAGAAAAGGGAGCAGTGCAGGACCACAAAAGAACAGGTACACTGCAGCTGGTGTGCTTTAAAAGGATGCCAACAGGTATCAGAGCAAGGTGTCACAGGCAGCTGTAGAAGCCCTTTTGTTATTGATTAGCACTGATGGTTGCACAGGCTGGCTGTCTCCAGGAGTATCTCTCAGGTTCGAGCTTCTGATACTGGTAGGAGTAATGGAAAAAACTGGCAGTAGAAACTGCATACATATTAATTCCATTGGATATATGTTGCCTCAATTGTTGGCATTAGATCTTAAGGTGTTTTAAAAATTTACTTAAGAATACACATTGTTAAAATTTCCTTTTACTGTAATCATTACCAAAAACTCTACAGTAGAATTTCTCCTAATTTTTCTGTAGTTTGGGATGAAAGTTCCATAGTTATAGATTATAGTACATGTGTAATTGCCAGTAGATGCTATGTACAATAAAACCAGGGCTTTTTGGAAGAAGGTTGTTTTTCTCTGAATAACCATATAACACGAACAAATGTAACTACTTAAACAGTGAGAGCTGCCGCAAGTTCAGTGTTTGCCTCAGCAATTTTGTAAATTCACAGTAGAGCTTTTGTCTTGGCAACTTTGGAAATTCATAGTAGAGGTTTTGTCTAAGAGGTGAATGGAAGATGTTCCATGAAGGGAGTATGTTCAGTGACCTAGTTTTCAATTGAAATTCAAGGTGTAAGGTTTCTTTCTTCAGCATGCTAGCTGGTTTGGCTCTATAAGATGGGGCCCATGGAATATGTTGTGTTTTAACAAACACTGCTCTGTATCTTCCCTGTGGCCTTCTTTACATAATGCTTTTTAATGCATCTGTTGTGACAGTTAACGGGCAAAGATTCAGTAACTCGGGATAAAGCACTTGTAGTTCTGATAGGTGTAAAGATGAAATATGAAAGAAAACTAAAAAGCCCCTTATCTTCTATAATTCAAAAATCTTCTAAGGCTTAAAGTCAGTTCAGAATAAACACCAGCTGGTCTGGTGTTCCATTATTTATTTCCATTTTATGGTTGGTGGGTTTTTGGGGGGATGGGTTGTTTTTTTTTTTGGGCTAATGCCCATCAGTATTTACTTGAAGGTTGTGAATTATACCTGTAACATCTCTGTGGAATTAGAGATCATTCCTTACAGTTACCCGGTACAGAACCAACTTCAGGTTCTTCTTCAGCCATGGGAAGGCTTGATCTGTCTAGAATTTGGTTTGCACACAAGAATTGTGCAGAAAAAATAACCAATCAGAAAAATATCTTAATTCTTTGGTTTCAGAATATCTACAGAGTTGTCAAAAAGGTTGCATAAACCCCCTCAGTAATAATAATCTCGGTTTTCTCATATATTAAAATTATGTTTTGGGGAAAAAAGGCAAATTTAAGTGCAGTGAAGAGGTCAAGAAATCTGGAAGGTAAGTCGAAGAGAGATGCTGGGGCCTAGTTATTGCCAGTGGCCTCCGTGCTGTCCTGGGGCATCCTCTTGTGCTTTGGTTTATCTTTCTATGAAACAAGCAATGATCAGTGCCTGAGCACTTCACAGTGAATGGCACAAGGTTCTGGTTCAGTCTTATTCTAATAAAAGTGAAAATAAGATCATGTTAAATCCCCTTCCCCCTTAGGATGATCTTTCCTGAAAGGTTTTTCTGAATGGCCTGTCTCAGCAGAAAACTATTGTGGTATGCAGCAAGTAAAAATTGTGCCTTGAGACTAAGTCTTAAAAGAATTTCTTTGACTAAATATTGCTGGAGGTAAAGTTTCATTCTCTGAGTTGGAATATGTATAACCACAAAACCTGGAAGAGCGTGAGCTTCCTCAGGCTCTATTGTACTTACAGAATTTATTGGAAAGAATACAGAGATAAGGATGCTGTCTATCAACAGAAATTCTAGAGTTCTTATATTTATTTTCAGCTAATATGCATAGACAATTTGAGTGTGTAGCAGAGAATATTGTTTGTCTATTTGTTATGCAAATATAACTATTCAAACAGATAGAAAAAAAAAAGATTAATTGTGACATTGGTAAGATTGTGACCTCTGAATGCTATCTTAAAGGGTAATTTATTATTTGAAGTGGCTGGTGTTATATATTTCATTTTCTCTCAGTCAGTTTTTCATTGCAGGAGGATGTTGCTGCAGAGAGGAGAAAACAGGCTGTTGTAGAACAAGTGATGGTGGATCAGTTATCTAGGTAACTGAATTTATAATGTAAAATTTCTGTTTTCTCTACAGAAGAATTTAGATCTGCGAGTGCATGGCTTTTCTTGCCTAGAATATGTTTTTATCATCTTGTTCCAAGTCTTATGTAGTTTTATGTAGTGTTACTATTTGCAGAAATTTGTTGAACGAAAAGACTTTTTAACTTAAATTAAAAGATCAGTAAATGAAAAGTCTTTTGAATGCACTGTTTTGTGCATCTTGGATCACGGATGTTCATTCTGTGCTTACCCTCCTTTAGCTTCTTTGCCTTAATCTTTCCATGGATTCCTTCTCCTACTCTGAACCCTTGTGTGGACAATGTCAAAACAATATTCAGTAGTACTGCAGCTGCATCAGGGTGAACTTCTAATTTAAAAAAATCTCTCTATTTATGTTCCAAATATAATGTGCCAATACTGCCGAACAAATTGGTGTGAGAGAGCAGGATATTAATTGGGAAGATTACTTCAAAACTGTTGCATTAAAAAAATCTGTTAAAGGAAACTCAAAGGTGGTTTGAGATTTTATTTTTTTTGTAGTGGAGCCAATCTTGCCGTTAAATCAGTGTAACTGATGTGTGCAAAGATGAATCTGTATAGATCAGAGAGCAAGTTCATAAAATTATATTAGCTGTGCAGAATTATTTTTTCCTTCTGATTATGAACCATTTCAATAACACAAAAAGAATCTAAGGTACTTTTAAAGGATCTCTCCTTTTGTTTACTTGTTAAAATGACACAGAGAATATAAAAGTGTTCAGAAACCAGTTAATCTGTTTCTGGTCTGCTTGATGGGACTTTGAGAGCCCATGGGCTGGGTAGGCACTGCTTTGGGAGAGGAAGTGCCAACAGTTTTGTTGGATGATGTCCCTGGGACTCTCCCCTGAGTAAGAATATGTAAGATCTGAAATTCAAACTTACTAATAGTCAGAGAGCTTCTCCCTCCTCTTTCTGATCAGAGCTGTTATAAGTGACCCTGAGCAATCCACGCGTGCTGATGTTTCCAAGGAAGCTCATGGATTTCCGGGATTTGGGACAGCACCAATGCATTTCAGAAAAAGAACGCTGCATGAAACAAAGTAAGTTTTCTCTAGTGGTCATTTTTTTATTTATTTTAGAAATACATCTTCTGCTGTATTCTTTTATTATTTTGGGCTCTGTGAAGTCTGTTTGCCTTACCAGATGTTTTATTTCTGGCTTGGATCCACCAGCTTCATGTGAGGCCTTTTTGTCACCTCCCCATGCTTATAATTGCCTGGTGGGACCTTTTTATGTGGGTTCTCTGTGTATAGTGACTGATTCATAGAAGTTATAAAACCTGGGAGAACATTCTTAAGCTTATATTGATATTGTTCATCACAGGGTTTTGCCAGCCTTTTCTGAGCTGTTGAATGCTTGCAATCTTGTCACATCCTTTTAGAGATTCCTATTCTGAGGTGCATAAAATTGCATAAATCTGCATCTGTAAATGCTAATGTACATCTTCACAATATCATCATACTTTTCTTTCATGTTTTGATTTCTGCTGCAATAATTAACTGTATTGGCATTTAAGTGTCATTCCTGGCCTGTAAGCATCAAAATAGTAACTCCAAGGGCTTAAGAAAAACTGAAAATCTTGTGATCCATAAAATTAAATGAATCTGCAGGTCTGAGTTTTGTTCATTTAATCTTTCTTAACATGCAGGCAAACATCTCTGCTTTGTGTGTCTTAACATCCTGCTTTAAAGTCTTTCTCAACAAATGTCATCTTTGTATTCTTAAAAAAAAAAGTCAACAAATCAGTCTCACACCTGTCACGTGGACAAATCTCCATTTCTGGAACTGGTAATATGGCCAATATTGGTGGGTTAAGAAGCCCCAACCTGGGTATTTTAGCAAGAAAACACATTGATTGGTGGACGTATGGTGAGTGGTAGAGCTTTAATTCTTGATATAAAGTGTATGTAAACAAAATATCCCATTCATATCTGTGCCTTTTGTGAATGTGTGCCTTTGTGAATGTGCAGTCATATTATATAATGACAGAACACCTTCCACATTACAACTCAGAGGTGCTTTCTAATTCCACTATGAGAGATCATCTCCTCAGCCAGTTGCCAAGGATACCGTATTTCACATTTTTTGCTGTTTTTAAACAGTTGATTTTTATGTAACATTTCGCTGTGAGCATATATGTATCATTACCCTGCTGTGCTGCATTATTTTCACAGAATAAGGACCAAATCAGGATTAACTGAAAACATGCTCTCTAACAAGCTACGCTTTGATAGTAGAGTTATATCAAGGTAATCACAAATTTTTTAAGGCTTTTCAATTCTATGACTTTATCAATTATGGTCTTTACCCGCTTGAAATTAATTAATTGCACTGAACCTTTCTATTCCCTATGTTTAGAAAAAAGTATGTGCTGTGTGGGTATATATCACAGAATCATAGAATGACAGGGGTTGGAAGGGACCCCTGGAGATCATCTAGTCCAACCCCATATATATATACACTCATATGTGTATAATATAAATTGTGACGTGGCTGATGGATAGTGACTTTACTGTCTCATTGTACAGTGTTAAGATGTGTAAGTAATGTTATGTTACCATCATACCCATAGCTCTGTGCAGGACAGTTAGCACGAGGGCAGTGTAAAATAGGGGTCTTGGCTGTTGCACTTCAGCTGATTAAAAATTATTTTAGCCTTGTCTTAGTATATGGCAACCACTGTGGATGGAAAAGATAGCTTTGTGTCTTGTTTATAGCTCCTTGCATATTAAGTAGAAAACTTGTAGGTTTAGGGCGTTTTTGAAAGTGTTCTGAATTGAGTAGCGGTGACAAAAACATGTTCTTCAGCTCTGAAAGTGGCACTTTCCTGAAGCAGTGAACTGGGTACTTTAGACATAGCTGAAGATTGAGCTACGTAGCTTCATAGACCATAATGAATGCAGTAGTCCTGGTATAAGTAATCCTTTAATGAGTGAAAATTATATTGGTATACTAAAACGCGAAACCTTTTTAACAGTATGGATAATGAAATACTGCATAAAAGTATGTGTGCAAATCCAGAAGTCTAATTCCATAGTGGTTTAGAGAAAATAGTCCAATAGCTGTTTCAAAGAAAAAGATTGTACAATATGCAACATTGGAAATAATATGGGTGTTCCAAAACAGTATTTGTGTTTGGGTTGAATTGGGTTTATATGGATGCAAAAACATAAAGGTACTTTTCAATTTTCCTTCTAGAAATGGTCGTGATGCTTGTAGAGAGTTGATTGGATTTTTTTTCGCATGTGACAGATCTCTTACTGTGTATGAATTTCGACAGTTTGGAAAAAATAGGTAGGATAAATAACTTCTTAAAAAGGTTTTAGAAAACATATTCCACTATCTAAGAAAGTTAAATAAATTTAATTGGTTTAATATTAATATCAGTTCTGAATTATTTCACAGAACAAATGCCTTGCCTTTCATTCAGAAGGGAGTTTATCAACATCAACGTGGACAAAAGAAGGGAAAAGCCTATGATCTTAGTGACTTCTATATTGTAAGTATTCTTCTGTTGAACATAAGTCACTTTGGTGGTGATTTGGAAGTAATATTTAGATATTCGAGTTAATGATTGTGATCTAGCTTTCAAGGAAGATCAAAATTCTTTCCCATCAGTAACATTTTCGAATTAAAGGTTTTCAGGAGTCTGGATTATTTTGTTGTCCCACGTTTTAGAGGGTCCATTTTTGGTTTCAGATTAAGCTGCAGTTTGTAATTTTCCCACTAGAGAGCAAAAGACTGCAGGCAGCGTCGACCTTTTTGTAGGCAGAATGAACAATTTGGGAAGGAGAGTCCTGAAGATGTAGACCAAAGTGACACAAGGCGATGATTAAATATTTTTTTAAATGTGAGGAAATTGCAAGTTAATTGGTTTTAACCTAAAGTTTGAAAATGTTTACCACCGGCTGTTTAGAGAGAGCTTCTGAAACGGTGGTAAATACCATCTCCCAGCTAATCTGACAAGTGACTATAAATCATATTGCATCTTCTGTATTGCTGTACTTCTGTACTGGGCTAAGTGTTCCTGGTTTATAAATACTTTAACAATTTTTCAAGTACAGAGTGTTTCTACTGAGTTCTTCACATCCTCCTGCAAATCTTAAGTTTAGAGCAAAAGCTGTGTTTGAAGGAAGAATTGATATCAAAGACAACATTAGTTGTTAGAGTGTTTTGTCTAATTACCAGCCTAATCCTAACTGCTTACGTGTGGCTACAATGTAAGAGTTTCCAAGATGAAATATATTTCTTTATGCAATGGAGGTTGAAGCTACTTTTTCGAGATTTGGGGTTTGGGGTTTTTTGTGTGTGTTTTTAATTTTTTTTAATTTTCATGTGTATCTTTGCAACCTGCAGATGGAAATATGTTCTGAGTAAAGATGCATCTTTAAAGCCATCCAGAAAATGTACTGCTACTGAGTTTGATAGCTCTTAGGAATGACGTCATATCTGTGAATCTCCATATCTGCAAACTAGGTTTCTGGGCTGACATTTAGATTTAAAAATCTCTCACAAAGTCCAAATGGTTGAGACGCTGGCACAGTAACAGTGACTCTGTCTCCTTCCTAATTTATGACTTTTGGAGGCTTTATAACCCAAGCCTTCATGGATATTACAGTTAGAGCTACTGCTTTTTTGATTCTTCTCAGCATTCTTTGCTTCTAGTTTCCTGTTTTCTTTCTCTCCCCTTCCCTTTTCTCCCAAACCAAAAAGCATCTTTAATTTTGCAGAATATGCGAGGTGTGTCCTCTGTCCCCAACTTGGTGGGAAGGGGAATTTGTAATACTCAGAAGAGAAAATACTGGGTAATAGAACTATATGCTACTAATAACATGTTCTTATTCAGTATTTATTTAGTGAAATCTAGTAATTTTAAAGAATAACTTTAAATTTAAACATTGCAGGAATGATTTGAACTTTGGGAAGGCTACTTTTTAGTTGTTTGTTTATCTCAAGTATGCTTTCAGGTTATTGAAAATAACTGTGGAGGGTTTCTTCTAGCCTGAGAGAACTTTGCTCTTGTGGAACCAGTGTGGCACCTTCTGTGACTCTCTTCCGTGGTCCAGTGAGTTTTGGATCCCATAAAGATGAAGGAAGAAGAAAAACTGAAAAGCAGAGCCTGGCTGCAGGAACAGCTATCTGTGGTCTCATGTTTCTCAGCTGTAGATTAGGCAGCAGTAAGCCCTCTTACTAGACAAACCTCTACGTAGAGGGTAACATGTCATCCTGGAGCCTGCAGCTGTTTTTATTCAGTACTAGAAAGGAGTTAAGAAGGTCTGACCTTTGCTAAGCTTTTTCATAATTTTGTACCAAAGCTTTTAACAATCATACTTTTTGAAAGTCTTGCAGTATGTATTTTACCAAATACACCACCTATTTGTAAATCACTGTATGCTTTACCAACAGGGAGCTAACCTAACTTTCCGAAGTGTTGATCATAACCTTCCAGAAAGTTTTAAGCAGAACCCAGTTCTCACCCTTCGTGTGATAGGTATTGATGAAGCAGCTATGGATTTTCTAAAGTAAGTGCAGATAAGTGTTTTTTCAATTACTTTTCCTTCCCTAAGTAAAAGATTTTTTAGTAAGAGCTTCTAATATCTTATTCCTTATAGTGCTGGAAGAATATATATCTCTATTTAGACTGTTGTTAGGAGAAATTAGTAATAGATCTTAGTGGGTGTTCTGTAATTCAATGATTTTCTAGAATGAAGTCTTTTGTGAAGCTTATGTTAAAAGCTGGTATCAGTCATGACAACGCAAGTGATTGAACACAGGCAGGGGAAGGATTGGAAGTTTCTCTCTGTTTTTTCTTTTTCATTTTCTTTTCCCTTCCTTTTGCTATCTCTTCATTCTTGTAGATATTGCCACCTGTTGAAGACTTCAGGCCCTGCTACAGGATTTCTACACTTATTCTTTCAAAATAAGTTTTAGTAAAATATTGTTCCATGGTGTGAAAGATGGGAATTTTTTTTCAAACATTGTCAGATGGTTAGGTCAATGGTTAATCTCTGAGTATGAGTTATTTTTGAAGGTAATATTCTCACCTCAGTATCATACAGAAGTAAACTTTCTAGGGAATGAAGCATTTTTCTCTGGATTTTGTGGATTTCCTTGTGAGTACAGTGGTTATTAGCACAAAGAAAATCTTGGTATAAAATTAATTGCATTGCTGTGTTGCCTGAACATGGAAGTTACTTAACAGCATTGAAAGTATAGTCCGAGTTTGATTCCTTAAATTTTGGTGAGCGGTGTTAGCGCATAGCAGATGTTACAAGGAAAAAAATTTCCATGGAATCATAGAAAAGGGACCTTAAGAGTCTCTAGTCCAACCCCACCGCTCAGAGCAGCGTTTACTACAGCAGGTTGCTCAGGGCTGCATCCAGTTGGGTTTTTAATATCTCCAAGGATGCAGAGACTCTGCAGCCTCTTTGGGCAACCTGTTCCGTTGTTCGATCATCCTCACAGTACAAAAGTGCTCCCTGCTGTTCAGAGGGAACCTCTTGTGTTTCAGTTTGTGCCCATGGCCTCTTGTCCTGCCACTGGGCCCCACCGAGCAGAGCCTGTCTCGGTCTTCTCTATTCCCTTGTGTCAGTTATTTGTACACACTGATAAGATCCCTTGAGCCTTCTCCAGGCTAAACAGTTCCATCTCTCCCAGACTCTTCTCATGTATCAGATGCTTCAATCCCTTCTTGACTAGGAACAGCAATAACAGAATCTCAATTAAATACTTTCACTACCTAAAGACTACTTTTGTTAGCACAACTTAACTGACTTATTTTTTTTCTGCAAGTGTTTAGACACATGAAAGTTGTTCTCATTTATAGTAACATTCACTATAAGGTATTTAAAGCTTTAGAGGGAAAGCTTTGCAAAGGAGCCATAGTGAGCTAAAAGTACATGGAACAGTAAATTCAAATGTAATTGGTTATAGAAATATATAGTTGTATGATGTTTAGTGCTAATTGTTCCCTCTCTGCAAGGTTTCCATGAAATAAAAAACAATATAGTTTAATTTCAAATAGTTTATGTGAGACATTTTACATCTCAGAAGCCTTTCACTCTGGTAAACAGCTTTTTCTTTCATTTGTTGCTGATCTTATACCTGTGAAATTTGGAGTTGATCCAAAGTTATCTCTGAAAGCTTTGGAAAGAAGACCTGCTCACTGGGCTATAATTTTGGATTTTCTGCTACCTCTGGTGGAACAGATTGTTTCTTTTTTATATTCTCTCTCTCTCTCTGTGTTCTTCCCATTGGTGACTAAATTTCAGATTGTGAAGTCTGTCTTTTTCTGAATGGGAGTGTTATTGAGCATAGTGTTCTCTGGTGCAAAACTTTTGAATTGAGTTCTCTTACCTCCGTTACTCTACTCACAGAGAATCCTGCTCAGTCGAAAAGGTCTTGGTATTGCAGGTTTTTGGGAGCAGCTATGCTCTGCTGTCACAAGCTATGAATCTTTTGTTTAACTTGTATTTTAGAGGGAGTATGCTGTCCTCTGTATGTGGTTGTTGACTTTACAGACTGGGTGGTTTGATATAGAACAAGTTTTTTAGGGATTTCCTAATGGGAGATACCCAAAGTGGAGATGAAAAGTCTTAATCAACAGTAGAGAGGTAATTCTTTGGCCTCAGAAAGCAGAAGGAGCAGTGCTCCATGGCAAAGTGCTAGTGAGCGAGCAGTTGAAAGCTGACAGTAGTATTTTTGCACTTGCCTTCCTTTTCTGATTAAAGTAACTATTGGATTTTTTGTTTCCCCAAATAGGTTATTCTGTAGTATTTTTTTATCAAACTCTATAATATTTTCTGATATAGGAAATTTCTTCTTTCTGGGAAGCTCTTCTCAGGAGGTAATCGCTTGTCAGACAAAACACAAAATGTAACTTTAATTCCGAGATCATACCTAAGATATGTTGATCCAGATTTTGGTCTACAGCCTTGCTATGTCTCTTCTAAAGAGAGATTTGTAGCTGTATCATGTTATTTTCCTATTCGCAACTAAATGTAGTTGCCTTAACAAACCCTTCCAGTGGCCTGAGCTGAAGATTAGGACTGTCTTGAAATAAATTTCTGGAGATTTTATGCACAGGAGGAATTATCCATGATTAATGCATTAGTAGAGGAGCTGCTAATGCAATATTGTCAGAATTTCTGCATATCTGCAGCTGTTCAGCAGATTACTGTGTGTGCCATCTCAAACTCAAGCAATTGGATACTATGCTTTTAAAGGTAGTATAAGAATTAAATGTAAAGCTCAATATGTTTTTTATTACAGCTGTTTTGAATTCAGTAATATTACACATACTTTGACCAACCAAGATTAATTTTGATTATTTTAGAGCTTCTTCTGTGGAATTAAAGCAGGAGTGTTCCAAGCAAGTGGTTGATAACAGCAAAATTTTCAAGAAGATTCAAGGTTTGTATATACCAGAACCCATTTAATTTTAATTTCAGTATCTCTGTCTTTACAGGTCAATGCCAAGAACAATAGTAACTTTATAAGTTAAATTAAACAGGAGTTAGATATTTATCAGAATATTATTAGAATCTGATACCAGAATAAATCAGTCGTAAGAATACTTTCTCCTCTCCCTTTCTTTAAACAAACCGACTGCCTTGTAAAAACTCCACTATTTACTATCATTAGCTGAACCTGTTTTAAGGTTTAAGGTTTGCTGGTTTGGTTTAGAAGATGGTTATGTGTATATCCTTCAAGACATCTTTTAACATACATCTGAATTTGAACTTCATTGGAAAAACCTTTCTTCTTTCACTGCCAATCTGAAAATGTATGATAATATCAGATATTTTTACCATAGAAGTAGTTCTGTCTATATCCTTTTGGGACGATTTTGCAGAATTAATTGTTTCCACATGTATTTCCATATTGAACAATGAAGGAGCAACTGCATGTCCCATAATGGAATGTTGGTATTACCAAAGTAGTGTTCTTCAATTGCTTTGTTTGTTGAGTCATGGTATGTTATCAATTTTAGCAGAAGAGAGAAGTTTTATAATCTGGGCACAGAAAGGGCGATATCCATTCTTCCTTTCCTTCTGTGAACTCTTTAAATGTTTTTTTTAGATGTTGGCTGATGCTTTATATGATTTCTACTCAAATGTTAAGTAGCTGAGAGTTTAATTTTGAACTGACATTCTCTCATCAAAGATAAGGGAGCCTGGATGCGTGTATGTGTCATTTTGATCAGCAGTATCAGAAGTCGTTGTGGTTTACTTTTATATGAGCTCCTTAGCATGTGGCCGACTAACTTCAGGTAAACATTGTGTCCTTTATTTCTCTAAATCCTCAGGTACACTCAGAGAGACACTAAAAAAAAGAGGAGTTCGGGTTATAACAGGCTTAGGAAAGTATTTCCGAAACGTAGACAAGAACAGAAATGGTTTTCTCTCTCGGGCAGACTTTAAAGAAGCTCTAAAAGTATTCCATTTGGAAATACCTGAAGAGGTAAGTCTAGCTGAGGCGGTAATCATGGGCATTATCTTACCTGAATTTATAGAATCACTTCCTTTCTTTGTTTAAATCAATAGTTTAATAGCTATTTTTTTCAAAGTTGTTTGGGTTTTTTTTTTTTCCCTTGTGGTATGTTGGCGTCTCTGCATCCAGTCCTATGTGAAATTTTTATTAAAAAACTAAATGTACAAACGTGCAATCTATTTACATCATGAAGAAACAAGTGGGATTGCAATCCATTCTTTTCTTCTTTGGCTTCTAAAAATAATTTATATGATGCTGTTATCTTTTTTTCTGGTTTTATATATTATGTTTTAAAAACAGTTCACAGCTATCAAAACTGCAAATAATGTGAATTATGGTCATCACTGATGGTGACTTGCATTATGTTCATGAATCTTTGAGTCAATTTTGGTTTGGAAGTTGTTTTTTTATGAGAATACTTTAATTTCCTATTATAGCAATTGTTTCATTCTAGGACATAGTGAATACCTTTGGCAAATTATTTTTAAATTACAGGACTTTGAATCCTTATGGCTTATTCTTGATGATAGCAAGAGCGGCAAGGTTGAGTATGGAGAATTTACTCGTGCTGTATTTGGAGAAATGAATGAATATCGGAAGGCATTTGTAAGAAAAGTAAGTTTTGTTGCAGATGTTCTAGATGTAGATATTTTGCAGTCTGAAGCTGGTTATTCATCATGTTCTTGTTGATGGGGTTTTGTTGTTGTTTTTCTTGAATTGTGTGTCTCGTAATTGACTTTTTAAACTTTCAGATCAGTTTATCAAATGTAAATTAGAAGACTGCATGCTGTCCCATTGTTGAATTGAGCTAATTTTGAACTCTAGCGTTAATTCCTGTATTATTTTGAGCTTATGCATGTGTTCTATTCTTTAGTCCAGTGGATAAAGCACCGGGCACCCTGAAACTATCACTTCCAGAGAAGAGAAACTATCTCTTTCTTATTTTGACAGATCACTGTACCTGTGTGTAGACTTTTATTCCTCAGTGTCTGAAACAGGGGCAATAATACCTGCCTCCTTTGAGACTATTTGTGAGACTTCTTATATTTGAAATGCTATTTTTTATCTTTCTGTAACGGGGAGCTGTTTGCAGTATGAGACACTAATTACCAGCCAGCCAACAGAGTTATGACTGGATATCAAGATCAAGAGAAATAGCACACACTTTTGTACTTTTAATCATGGAGGATGTGACCCTCCTTGCCTTATGTATCGAGCACGTGAATTTGGCTAAACAGAAATGAAAATGAAGCTGCCTCTAGCAGTGCTGAAGAGGCTGTGCTGAGGCCTGTCAGAATGACACTGGAATCTTAGTAATTGGAGGAGGCAGAAGGGAAGCAGCTTTAACCTCTGATTCTAAGGATGAGATAGAAATTTCAGAGAGAAGACAATTTTTTTTTTTTTTGAGTTGGTGAGGGGACCACATTTGATGTGAAAGCTGTTGAGATAAAATAATCACAAAATTCCATAACCTGGAATAATGTTCTGTTATCTGGTGCCTTACATAAAATACGTAAGTTGGCATAATCCATTGCACAAGATCTAAAAATATTTGTTAGGTAGTTAAGTATATTTGATCTTTAGAGCTTTCCACTTCTTTGGTTTTTTTTTTTTTTCCTTTTCCTTATATGCTTACATGATTATTTTTTTTTCCCTCTATAGGCTTATATGAAACTAGATTTCAACAAAACTGGGAGTGTTCCTATGGTAGATATCAGAAAATGTTACTGTGCAAAGAAACACCCTCTAGTATTGGCAGGTAATTCACACGAACAAAAAAGAAAATAAAATTTGTAACTGCTGAAGTTATCTGTTAGCAGAGATACCAGATCCAGAAACTAGTTGCAGATACAAACTGTTTTCATATTGCTTAGACTTGAGCTGTTAAGGAGAACTTTTTTCCTCTGATGAGCTGATAATGTGTAGTTGGAACAGGCCTATAAATACATATAAACAATTTTAATAGTAGCTTTTTATCAAGCTGCAAATACTGCATGTATGCAGAGTAGTTCCTTTCCCTGCTGTGTTGGGCTATGTTTATGTTGGTAGTTCTCAGCTTTGGTATGCAAGTTACCGGTGACACACATGATATTAGTAATTTTCACTTAGAAGGATACTCTCATTTTCATATTGCTGTTTTCCATCAAAATATGCAAAGTCTCTAACTGAATGTACTCAGCACTTGAAGTTCCTTCTGAATAAATTATTCATTTATTCCTGGGACAGGATTGTCATCCTTTATGGAGGAAGTAGTGTTGTGTTCATTATTTTTTCAGGATTCTCAAAAATATTTAGACTTTGCCATTGAAAAAGTAGGAATTTAAATATTTATATGTCGGTTTCTAAACATCTCCATGTACCAACCTAGTCATTGAGAAGTCTCTGTAGTGTCCTGATCCTTTCTGTTTTGCCTGTAGAAGAGAGGATGGTTTTTGTATTGCCAGTGATTTTATTGGTAACACAGTAAGACACATGGTGGTATAGAATGTTACACGTGCAGTTTTTTCCAATGCTGTATTTTTTCCATTTTTTTTCTCAATGCTATGCAGTCATCTTGAGTATAGTCTTTATTAAGTCATGAAAACATACGTCACTTGCAGAACACTTTTCGAATGCAAACTTGCATCTTAAGTTTTTCCTAGAGCTTTGAACTTGTATTACTTTAAACATATGCTCTATTACAAGATAACTTCTGAATTACCAAAATTTTAGGTTACAAATGCATTATTCAGTTTTTGCAGACATTTGAAGAAAAAAAAATATATCTTCCTGATCTCAAAGTTCATTGAAATTTACTGTGGCTTCATACTTCTGTTGATATTTAATGCTATCGTGTGCTCTTAAAGTAGGATGATTTCTGCAGCTGGTATTAAGTGAGCCAATGACTTCATTCTGAAATCAGAATATTGAATTTGTTCAAGCAAAAAATATTTGCAAGCTAAAATGGAAATGTTTCTTGCCTGAAATATATTAAATGCTATATATTCACTGTTCTTGAAAATGTCTTTAATGGAAAAATATACTTTTGCAGGCAAAGCTACAGAAGAAGAAATCAAATCATCGTTTCTAGAAACATTAGGAGAGTCCTGCAGCAACCCAAATGAAGTGTCCTATTCTGAGTTCGAAGATTACTATGAAGGATTAAGTATTGGAATCATGGATGATGAGGATTTTGTTAATATTTTAAGGAACCCTTGGGGAATTTAGAGTGGGAGACAACAAAAATGAAGAAGAGATATTTTCCAAACAAGGAGTAAGCTAAATATGGGAGGATTTAGTCTTGATGTGCATTACTTCATAATTAGTGTCTCAAACTGATTTCAGGGACTGAATAATTTAGATGCTTTCAGAATACAAGACAAATTTCTTACAAGTGTCTGTTGAGGAATGCTAACCGCTTTTTTAATAGAAATGCAGTTCAGTCCTTTTCATTGGAAATCAAAAAAGCTGTTCCCCGTATCAAAATATGTCCTTTACTTGATATTAGAGTAAAGTAGCCTATCTTAAAATAAGAGGGAATCAGAATACTAAAATGCATAAAGGAGTATATGCAAGATAAAATTTAATTTTATGATGCACTGTGCAAGGCTTTATATTTGATTGTGTGAAAAACAATGGTAGCTTTTCTTCAGAGTTTTCTTCTTATAAAAATAGTATGTTTATTGGCATAAAATCCTTTGTCTCGTTTCTTGTTTCTTGTGCTGGTACTTGGCCTGAAAGAGAGCAGGTCATCCTTTCCCAGTTTTGAGGCTGTCTGCAGTATTGAAAGTGCAGAGATGTTCACACCAATTAACCTTTGAACTACTGCGTGGACCGTCTCAACTGATCTTGTTTTTTCATCAGGCATCTGAAGCTGAGCATTGAATCGCAAAGGTTTTAATAAGCACACATGTATATTTTCAATTCATTTCTTTCTTTCCTATATTTTGCAAAATGATTTTTAAAACAAGTAGCTTATATTTAAAGATCTGGTTTCTGTATTTTTCTATTGCTGTGATTTATTTTTTTTTAACTAAAACTTAGCAATTATATCCTTGGTCAAACTGCTATGTAGCATTTCCTATCTACTCTGAAAGCATAAAACATGAAAGTGTAAAAAAAAAAAACCACCCACCTCTGTCACAATAAAAATTAAACCATGAATTAAAATATGCCTTGCTACTTCAAATCTTCAGCAGGATATGCTTTTCAATGTAATAAAGCTTGTTAATTCTGTATAATTCTTTGTGTTAAGAAATAAAAAATGTATTATTAATTTTATACAGAGAGAGAGAACCTCTGGTTTCAGTATACCTGTCACCAAAGTTACTGTATGTTGAACTGCATTTCTTAAGCCTATGCAATTAAAATATATTCGTTTTCTTTGTGCTTGTCTGCCTGGTTTTGAATTTGTATTTTGTGGTTAACAGAAATTTCCTCTGAGACAGAATTTGTCTTTTGTAGGAATTTAAGGGCAGTGCTGAAATGAACACTGAAATGAGGGACTTTGGTCCGTCCCTCTTGTTAATTCTAGATAAGCACTTCTGTGTTCTAATAGTTTGTATATTGTTATCTTTTGATTGTTTGTGCCCTGTCCTCATTTGTAACTGGAATTGCAGTTTCTGCTCTAAATCCTTAAATGAGGGATTTTGGGGCGTTCTTTTTGGGCTGTAGAAGTCTGTATGCATTGGTTTACAGAGAAAGGCAAATTCTGTCAATGCTTATTCTAAGCAAGAATTCTGATGTGTCTTCCTCCTATTTCCTTACTCCCCATTCCTGATGGAATTTCTCTTGCTGGAACAATTTTGTTGATTAGTGTTCTTGGAACTGGTGATTCTGAGAAAGGCAACTTCAGATGGTTTTACAGAGATCTGCTTGTTAATGTGTCCGTTCGAGTAACTGAAAATTATCAAGTGACATTTTTATTAGTTTTTCAAGGAATCACCTACTCTGTTTAGACTTGCTCACTTAGGAGAGTTGTACCAACGTATAAAATTGTAGCTGAGTTTAATAAATGTGAAAGTGATTGTGAAATAAGGTATTGACAAATTTCTTTTTGCAATGCTTAATTCTTTTTGCGGTACTTTTAGGAAGATTATTCCATGTTATCCTCTGGAATGGAAAAATTGATGACAAGTGGATGTACCCTTAGTGGGCCTCTTTATCAGCAGAGGCTCTACTGATCACATCTATGGCAAATTAAGCATTCTTTATTTTGCTCTTGTCACTACAATGAAGTGCTGTTATAAGAACATTATTTCCGTATCTTTTGTGGTCATGTTTTTGGTTGTTTTTTGTTTTTTTCTTAAGCTGAAGACAGATCATTAACAGGATAATCTACAATAAATTCTAAAGGTTAGAAATTTGCTGAAAATACAAGTAGGTACTCTGGTAATTATGTAAAACCTGCTAGGTATATACTTTCTATTAACTACAAGGTCAATTACGCATCAGTGGCTGCCTCAAAACATCAGGTATGATGTCTATGGTGAATTTTTAATGGAGTTCACAAAAGTAGTTTTCCATCTGCCTGCTGATTTTCATTGCCTAAACTGCTAGATGGTTACAAAGAATTCAGAGCAACTTCTACCCCAAGCTGGCCCCCCGTGCTTATAGTTAGTAGAAAAACACAGAAATTGTATTCAAACCAGGGCCTGTCATGTCTGACTTCTTTTCATTAACGGTGGTCTCAATGCCCTCACTAATTACATTCTGATTTGCTCTTAGTTGTAAACGTTTGATGAAACTGAATCCTTTTCTTTGATCAATGCTTTGTAGCTTTAAAACTTTTTGGAGGTATCTGCTGGAGTTTCCTGCCTTCAAATGTGTTTCAAACAAAACTTCTCCTAAATTTGCTACCTTTCCCAGAATTTGCCATGTTTTCTGAAATAAGATTTGTTCTTAGAAGGGCTGTTCTCAGAGAAGGTGGCTGGCTTCTTTCCTGAAACTCACTGCTTAATAAAACTAATTGTCTTCATGCCACCCTGATTTACATTTCTGCTAAAAAGTTTTAGCAACCTGCCGTAATGTAGACTATCAGAAGAGGAGGGATTCTTACTGATTCACACCCATAAACTCGTTTCTCTATCATAAGTGTTACTGCCAGCTGATCAAATTTGGTGGGTCTTTGGGGCCAGAAAAACCCCAAAAATGACAACTGTATCTACCACTGTGTTTGTATGGAGGTGCTGTTTGGTTTGGGGGAGTTTGGGTTTTTTTGGGCTTGCGAGTTTTTTTGGGTTTGGTTATTTGGTTTGTTTATTGGGCTCTTTTTTTGAGTGCTATTTCTAGGTAGTAAAAGAGAAAGCCTAGGACTGATTTCTTATGTGTTGGTCTGTTCAGTCCATGGAAGAACAAAGCAGGTAAGTTTCTGTGGCAGGAAAAGGCAAGGTACAAAACCACATGCTTTTCTTTTTTTTTCTGGAGATTACTCTAATAATTTATCCTTCCCCTTCATGCTCAGCAATTTAGAGACTGAGCTAATTCTGTACCTGCTTTTCATGTTGTTGCCCATCTCATCTTTGAGAAGCTGAGTCAGAAGGACTCTGTTGTAATCATGGGTCATCTCCAGTGATGAAAGAGGCAAGTGGTATTTCCTTCCCAAACTATTTAGTCTATTTTTTCCACAGAGAACATTTCAAAATATTAACTGACCTGGAAGGTACCTAGGGAAGAAATGTGGTAAAATGGTACCTACATGATGACCTTTGCAATATTTTGTTTTGTGGCTCCTATTTTGTTGCACCCCTTTTTGATTGTGGGGAACTAGAAGCTAAAAGGTGGCAAAATACCCTTCAGGAAAAAAAAAAAAATCTATCACAGTCTATAATGTTTATTATAATATCTGCTGTGTTTACCTGGGAATTTATAATACCTGGGTACCTGTTTGCTGCCTTTTTCCCCCTCACTTGTGTTATAGTGTGGATGGAATTAAATGGATTTGTGCATGGCAACTTCTGTGTTTGTTGCTACTGGCAGAATTTTCTGTGTCCAGCATCCCCAGAGAAGCAGCTTCAAAATAAGGAAAGTAATAGCCTTTTTTTTTTTTTTTTTTTTCAGGCTGCATTTTCGTGAAAGACGTTTAATCTTTTAGGATCTTTTGCTGGCTTGTGTATTTTTTTACCTTGTGTCTTCTGACCTTTTGCTGTCATTTTTCCACCCAGTTTTAACAGAGAAGAGGAACCTGCGAGACTCTAGAAAGGTTAGGAAAAAAGGTATTTAGAAGGTGTGCTGTCTAGGTAACTATCTAATAAGGGTTCTCCCTGCAGAAACTTGATGCTGCTTTCGAACTGCTTTTTTGAGTAGTCTCAAAGAACCTCTTAGGTCTTTGTGTACTTGGAAGCAGTCCACCAGAGAGGTTTGTCCTCTTAGACAGCCCAGGACAAGCACAGGCGAGAAGGGCTTAACCTCGTGGCTGGGAGCAGTGAAGGTGGCTGCTTTGGTCCCAGAAATGATCTCTGCCTGCTTTGCTTGCTGGATTCCAACAGTGGGCTCCTTTCCTAACCCTGGCTGGGAGAGGCTTGCGGGAAGGAGGCTTCTTGCAGACGTTTAGGTACCTGCCAACGTGCCAAGCTAGAACACAGGGACTGTCCCTCTCGTTGTAAAGCTGCTCTTTCTAGGAGCTTTTGGAAACGTCAGCCCTTAGTACTGTCTAGCTGGAGGCAAGGGTAATGGAGAGGGCAGAGGCTGGACCTGGACAAACTGCAGAGAAGACATTGAGAAAGGACAGGCAGAAGACTTAAAATGGTAGTGCTTAGGGGCAGTGGCAGAGATAAAAAAGCAGAGAATGGCAAAGAGCTCCTTTTCAGCATGGATTTGAGGAACTTCCCTATTTTTTCCCCCCATATTTCAATTCTCTGCCATGTCTCGCATTTGGTTATGGGTTGAGAGTGAAACTCAGCAGGAACTGATTAATTAAGATTCAAAAAGGTTCTGTTCCAAGGATACCTCCTTGTATTCTGGTGTCCTGTTTTTATCCTGTGGTAATCTTGAGAGTTTTGTCCAAGGCCTTCACGCAACTTGCCGTGGGAGGAGCATGCTGTGGGTGATACCCGCTTTAGGCTTCATGCGGGGAAACCCCAGGCTCTTACGGGGAAGCACAGGTTAAAATCAGTGGAAGCTGAAAATACCAGCTTCAGGGATGTAGCTTAAAGCAATATTCCCTTTTCTTACAACCTCTGTGAACACACTCCTATGACTAACTCTGGGATCCTATGATTTGTCTTGGCATGAATTAAATCCTGCGCTCACACTGGTAAAATTATTCCCCTGAAGTAATTTCTTTTGACAATAGTATTTGACTTGCAGATGCTAGTGATTAACTACAGGTTTCACTTGTGAATCCTGCAGTTGTTTTCATCCATTAGACATTCTTGAATTCTTCTCCTTTCTCAGTGTTTCATGACCAAAGGGAATAGCAACAGAGGTCAAACCCATGCTACAATTTAACTTTTTTTTTTTTCCCTTTAAAACCAGCATTTTGGAAGTGCCCAATACAGCAACACAGTTTAAACCAAGTTATAATATTCTGGGTTTTATGGGTTTAATATGCTTTTGAGAAATATCTGTTCTAGATATTATTGTTGCATAGATCCAAGTAACCATAGGGAAATAAGCAGTCAGAAAACTTAGTTTATTTATTAAAACCAAGATGGTCAGAAGGGAATAGATTGTCAGTGCCAGATAATTAACTTTCCATATTCCTTGTGTTTCTTTTCTGATACTTTGCCCCTTCTTTCATTTCATTACCCCCGATTTCTAAGTTCTCTTTCCAGTTTTATCTTGCTATGCTTCCAAACTCTCTTCTTTTAGAAGCATCCTTCTTGGAAATCAGGTTCTTCAGTAACAGCCATAAAGCTAAAGACTTTTCTGAAATTAATCAAAATATGAACTAACATCCAGCAACAAAAATCCCTGGGGGAGAGGGTGGGAGACTGGGCAGCTAAAAGCAAACAGTAGCTGTGATGACATCACTACTTATGAATATTTTTTGTTGATGTATATCTCTCTGGAGATACTCTTCTCTCTGGAACAGCAGCCATGAAGAAAAGCCTACCCAGCAGTATAGGTCATACTCTTCCTTCACGTGCAGTCAGAATAAATCAATCTGGAAGAGATTTCATGACGTTGCCTACTCCATTATCCTGTATTATCCGGAACAAATAGTGTGTGTGCTGCCTTCTCATCTGTGATGGA